ATGGATGGATGGATGGATGGATGGATGGATGGATGGATGGATGGATGGAAGGATGGATGGATGCATCGCAAACAGATAAATGTAATAGTTAAATTATTGGCACAAGCTTGTGAATTAGTTACAAAGTCAGTTAAATATGTCAATAAATACTTACTGAGGGTGTTTGAGTAGCCTGGACGGACAAGTTGGTATTGATGGGGTCTTAACTATTGGTAAAACAGATTCTGCAGACCACTGCCTCACTTCATCCTGATTACATATTTATAAATTGTTAATAAAAAATATATACATTTTTTTGGTTACAAAAAAATAGAATGATGTCGTCAAAATGAAATATTAACTTGATCAAATTCATTTGTGTTTATACCTCATCGTGTAGAATTGTACTGTTAAGGCGATGAAGCTTCCATGTCTATAAAATAAAAAAGAACATTAAAAAAAACAACAACAAAAACAAGTATACTCTTGCAGCCTCATGAATATACCTTGGAGATTTTTCAAGCACAATGTAACATTATACACATTTTGTAATATTTGTTAAAATGTTCTGTATTGTGGTTAAAGTTGCAACTTTGGAATGTGCGATTGTAACCATATTTTTCCAGAATATGATTTCCTGCCTTTACGAACAACATCTGCCCTATATCACATGATGCTTTCATGAATATATTATATCTCTTGCTTGGAGCTCTTTGCAAACTTGAAATAACTTTATTACAATGTAATTGTCAGTTGTAACATCTTTCTATAGCCTACCCTGTATCTTGGTTTGCCTAGTTTCTTATGAACCTCTCTGCATATTGGTATTGATACTGGGTTGAATGAGCTTCTTGGAAAAGCATTTAGTGAGCTGTACATAAAATCCCTGTGTAGTGTTGGTTCCACAACCTGTCAAATAATATGAATGATATGAGATACTAATACATACCAGATATCAACAAATTCCTACTAATTAGAATTAATTAAAGTATCCCTTGAATATATATATATATTGTGACAAACATTCATTTGGTGAAACAAATGTGTTTACCACTCCTGAATGGATGGCTTAATGCCTAACAGGCCTTGCAACCCAATTGATAAGGCAGCCGGTAGATCAAATTAGAATTTAGAAGTTGATTTTTGTGGAGGGATTAAAAAACCTTGCAGCACAGGAGAGAACCAACAAACAACTCTACTCACATATGACACCAAGACCAGCAGGGCTCAAACTCGGGTCGCATTGGTGAGAGGCGGCACATTAGCAGTGCATGCCACCTGTGCTTCCCACACAGTGCCATTTCTTAAAGTATCTAAGGCAACTGCCAGTCAATAAATATCTGTGAGGATGGCACATTATTCTAAAGCTGGATTTACTACGTTTACATTTTTACCACTGCTTTTATTGCTACAAGCTGATTGAGACAATGTACAATCGGCACATAAAAATTGGGCAATAGACTACCATCGTAGACTACATAGCAATGAAAACAGTATACTAAGTAATGTCTTACACAAAAGTACACCAATTAATTCATATTAATGCTTAAATCCATGTTACAGAAATTCATGGTAGATYGTAGTAGCTTAGTAACCTTATTGTAGTTTAGTTTATTTGTTTGTTTATTTATTTTCAGCACATATTAATGGTGCAAAAAAATACATCAAGGTACACAAAATCTGACACAAGAGATCTGACCAGTGTAGATGCATACGAGTGTGAACCCAAACCCCCAACCCCCCCCCCCACCCCCTTCCCAAATGCCAGAGAGACACTACACAGGCTAGAGTGTTAAGAATGTCATGTCACCTGCCTCTTATGAACCAATCACAAGAGGAGAAATCATTTCAACCAATTAGAATACTTTAAGAATCAGAATTGAAAAAATAAAACCTTTCACAAGAAATCAAAAGCATAATAAAAATAACATATATACTATCAATTTAACAACGATATTACTTACTGTCCAAAGAAATGATATTTGTTCACTGTCACATCTTGGTAGCAAAACCTCAATTATTTTAGATCTCTAAAAAAGTACATAAATACTGACATTAGTATATTTAACATCTGAAAATTTAATCTGGGTTTCAAAAAAACACAAAAATTGATATTTAAAAAAATATTCATATTAAGTCACTTTGAGATTTTTACAAAMCCCTAATTTAAAACATAACATAATATTTTGTTCATATTGTACCTTTTTTCCCAAATCGTACACACAAAATCAATCGTTCATTCTGTTTATTGATAATCTTTTTTGGTATGAAATTTTCCACAGAAACTCGACAAGACATGTTCTTAATAATTAATTCTATATTTTAATGGCGTATGTTTTTGTATTGTTTACACAAAAAGATCATTTATGTTTTTTTTTGAGCCCTCGAGAGATAAGGTAATTGTTGCAAACACACTTGAAGCGGGTAGTTACATTTTATAAATGTCAAAAAAGACCGGATTCAGCATATCATTTTCTTTCTTGCTATCTAAAGAACACTTTTTGTATCTACTGTCATTGAGAGATAAAAGAACGGTGTGTTCAAATGTAAACAAAAAAAATATTGTATTAGCTTTTTACTTCAAATATAAATATCCTTCGCCCGCTAAATATTCAATCTTAAAAGAAATCAAAAACTTCATATTTGTAAACACAAATATCAAAAACCTATAAAATAAAGGACCTAATGTAAGGCAAAAAACATGAAAAATGGCTAACATATGCATGATGAATAGATAATTGATAATGTGTTCTAAAACGAGATTAACTAGAGCTCTCATTAAAATCAAGAATTATACAAATAATATGGTTAAATATTTTCGCTCGTCTTTTTAAACGAAAACACTAGTAAATTGTGTGAACGTAGTTGGATTTTTATTATATTTTATACGTTGCTCAAATTGTGCAGCTCGGCTCTCGTGTTACGAAGAATATTGTTCTGAAGCTTGTTAGTGTACGTTTTATATAGCTGAATGAATCCGCTAAATACCAATAGCGATTATTATAATTTTGCTTGACTGCGATAATGTTGAAACTAGAATTTACCTCAACGTCTGTCCATGCGTCCAGCCATTGACAAAGATAGTCCAGTTGTTGTTCGAATTCAATGGTACTCATTGGCCTATGCCTGGCTATTGGTGAGCTAAAGAGCATCTTTGATCGGTTGTTGCCTCAAGTCAATACCTTGGTGTCCATCCAAACAAATCATTTAGGTATCTTTAAAGTCAACTATGATTGCTTTAAAGAAGATCTTTTAATGAAGATGTTAATCCATTTAGCCATTATCGCCTCATAATCGCGGCAGAAAAGTTTGGCTTTTGAAGTCCATTGCATGCAACCTTTTGTTTTGGCCTAGAAAGGCTTCTCGTTGGCAACGGACCGCGTCATGCTGCTAAATGGTATGAAGCATGACATACTTGTGATGTTCGTGACAGTAGGGTGCGTGACTGTCTGAATGTCAAGCGTTACTACAAGAGGGTCCTGAATAGATTACCCTCGGTTTATTTAAACTCATAACATATGTATGCATATAAAGAAAAATTAAGTAAAGAGCAAAAAGATAATAATATAATTATTGATACAAAAAAAAAAAAAAAAAAAAACTTCGTCCCCTCCACTTTATTATTCTTGTAACGTAGAATACTTTTCTTTTCCTTTTTCTTCATAATTGATAATCTTTAAATAGAGAATATCAGTTATGGCAGCTTGGAGATAACGGATTTTATTTTCGGGTGTAGAGGTGATATCTTACGAGTGAGCGTTGCGGACGATTCACGGTATTCTCAACACGAGAAGATAAAATCTGTATCTCCAAGCGGTCATGTATATATTAAGTTAATCTAGCAGCAGTAAGGGGGACTCGCGGTCAATG